CGCTCGCGTGACTTCGGTGCTGTCACATGGAATTAGCAGCACTCGCTCCCAGCCGCCTTCCTCTGCCCGTCACTGTTACTGAAACAGCCCCTGTGACCTCACCGGGGGTGATTTTGGTTTTTTTTTTTTTAAAGACAAAGTAAAATGCACAGAATTTTTTGCCCACGTAAACGGTTCTTATCCCAGGGCAGCCTGTGTGAAAAGCCGTTTGAAGAGCAGTTGTTCACTGCTGGAGGCCGTTACTCGGCACAGTATCACAGGGGATCCCTAACTCCACTTGCTAGCCCTGCACAAGGATCTCTTCATCCTCCCTGTTGTCAGGAGATATCGTGAAGGCCAAAAATATAACGGGGTTCAAAAACGAATTAGGTAAATTCTTGGAGGATCGGTCCATGAATGGCTGTTACCCAAGATGATCAGGGACACAAGCCCATGTTCTGGATGTCTCTAAGCCTCCAAGCACCAAGGGAGGGATCACTTTGGATGTTTCCCTGTTTTCTTTATTCCCTCTGAAGCATCTGCCGCTGTTGGAAGACAGCATATTGGGCTAGAGGGACTATTGCTCTGACCCAGTATGGCCGTTCTTTGATGTGGGATGTAATCACAAAATGGCAAGGTAGTACCAATGACCAGCACTGCTTGGTTGGAGCACGGCTGAGCTGTGCTATCAGATGTAAGTATGGAAGGCTTCATGGACTAGCAAACTATTTCACTAAAGCTGAAATGATGGGGCAGTTGGCATTTTTCTATAGTCTATTTGCAGATGGATGTCTTGGCCTAACCTAGTTAAACTGTGGTGACCCTGCTATTGCCAAGTCAATAGCATTCTTATTGCTGATCATGTAGCTGTGCAATGGCTTATTTAGGTCTAGTAGGCCCCTATGTTGAGTCAGGGTGATGGGTCGTGTTACTCCAGTGAGAGGAACTGGGTTGCTTGCTCCTAACCATCCTGAACTGTTTCAAAATAAAGCTCCCAGCTCTCTGTTTTGCTATCTCTGGGCACGTCTACACAGCAGGACAAAAGTAGAGTTAAGCTATGGCTATGTCAACTGTGCAAAAGTTGAAATAGCGTAACTCGGCTTTTGGCACTGTCTACGCAGCAGGAAGCTAAAGGAAGATCACTCTTCCTTTGACTTCTCTTACTCCTCACGAAATGTGGGTTACCAGAATTGGAGTCCTCTAGCTCAGCATTATTTCAAAATAATGGCTTGCTGTGTAGATGCACATTTTGTTATTTAAAAATAACGTTGTGTAGACATACCCTTAGGAAATACTGGTATGTGGTTAAGAAAGGGAAAGTTTAGGGTGAATATCATTCAAATCATAATGGTGAGAGCTTTTATACTATGGAATCCCAAAAGTGTGGTGGAAGTTTCATTGGGGTATTTCAAAACGGGCACAGCACCAGAGAACATTGTAGAGCATAAATTTGCAATGTTCAAAGGGAAGTGTCTTTGATGTGATGTGTAAGGTCTTTTCATTAGAAACATCTTAAAGTTTTATAAGTCTTGCTCTAATTTGGGGCCTCATGCTTAGTTAAACTTAGTTTTCCCCACTAGCTCAATAAACTTCTGTTATCACCCTTCCTCACTCAGCAGCTGATCTGTGCCTGCTCAGAAGCCATGGCCTTGACTGATACTGCTTTCTAACAGGTTCTAAAGAAAGCCCCAAGACTATCCGCCCCCTCCTCCCCCTTCCCATCCCCGCCCCATCCCGAGAGCATGACCCATACAGATAATTCTCTCAAAGAGCTACAGTTAGTGCTGAGCAGACTTTCTAGTTTAGAAACAGTCTATTTCCCAGGACAAGCACACAGGAGGAGTCTGTTGAATGGTGCTGCCTCACTCCCTGGCTACGGTTTGTGAAAGCCACAAAATAATAGATTTCCCTGTGCCCTTGCTGCTTGTCTCTAATGCCCATGCCCCGTGGAATAGAGTTGCTCATAAGCTCAGTGGGAGCATTGTTATAGGAGCTTGAAGTCTGCCAGCACATCTCTGTTCCGTACCCCACTGCTTTGATCCAGATGCCTCTGGGGTTTGGTTCTCTTCCCCTCCTCCCTGAGTGTTTCCTGAAACTTTGCTCCCACTCCATTTTTATTCTCATCTACAAATGGGAGCAGGGTTTGAAGCAGCCATAGAGAGCCCAGATGGGAAGGAAGGTGTGCTTCTTCAGTTTAGCTGCTCAAAAAATCCTCTGGAAACCCTGAATCTGAACTCATCTAACTCTGAGAGCAAGGCTCACTGCCTGCATACCAATGGAGGTGTCAGTACTGTGGCAAGCTGCAGTACAGCCCATCCAGAAGCATTCATTGGCGGTCCCTGGACTATGTATTTTCTTCCATTTCTCTTCGTCTTCCCACACTCCCTATGGGGCTCTTTCTCTCTCTCTGCCCTGCTTTCTTTCTCGGTTATAGCCCATTTTAGTCTCCTCTCTGTTTATACAGGTTTCTCTACCCTCTCATGCCTCTCTAATTCTCTCCCCTTTTCTGTCTGGCTTTCGTCTCTTGCATATTTTCTGATCACAAGTCGGCATGTTGCTTCTGACATGTTGATCCTGACATGACCCAGGTGCAGTAAAGCGCCTGCTGCTGGGGCTGCTTTGCTGCTTCTGGCCCAACCTGACATTTTCCCTTTCCAGAAGGAGCTGCAGACACCCCTG